ACGAAAGTGTATGATCATCAAGGAGAAACAATTAAGACGAAATCCTTCACGAGCGACGGGCATGGTCACAAACTGAAAATCGTGAGGATATACATTTTGAACGCTTGTTGACTCAGAACTATATTTCTGTCCGACTGTTGGTTGATTATTGTTGTTAGATTTCCAATTCAACAAACACAACAATAAACCACCAGTCGAACAAATAAGAACTTATATTGAGTCCACAAGCTTTTAAAATTGACACCTTCACCATTTTGAAAATGTGAGTGTGCCCGTTTTCCCCCTGTGTTCTTCACAAGTGTAATTTCCCTTGTAGTAATAGTCATTCAGTAAAAACTGTAGGTCCGTTTTATTTTCTGTCCTTCTATAAGTTCTGACTCTCTATCTACTATCTGCTTTTCTTGGACTTAAAAGAATGTTAACGTGTCAAATTCGTGATTCTCTCTTCAGAAATCAAATTCATTTACCAGGGTCTCTTGAGAGTGGGACATGTGCTGAAGGCTGAGTATGTAATATTATTAATTCATGAATAGTTTGGAAAACTTTAAAACAATCTTCCTAGTAATTGTATGTGTTTTACGCTACTATCAGCACGATTTAAATAATTTTGGGAGGCGAGCTGCTTCAACTCTGTCTGTCAGGGTCAACGTAGATGGAGTGGAACACAACATCCACGCATCAGGCTGTCGGAGATACTCAATAAGCAACTTTACTACTCTGGAATCGAACTCCTGTCTTCCGCTTGTTTGCTTCTTTGTTTGACTAAAGAGAAGCACATCGTCACAATAAAGATCATTTAGTTCTGGGAAAAATTAAGACAGACATACAAACCGACAGAACAGAGGAAAAGTAAAGAGGTAGGACCTTACATTGGCGCCCTCCAACTACCCGCGGTATCTTCCGCGTGCAACAAACAAAAAATATATCCATTTAACTTATAACTCTAGTTCGTTATCTGTTATCTTCGGAACAATAAACATATTATGATAGACCGAAAAGAAAAGGGAGGCCTTTGGATCTTCGTTATCTGCTCTCTAAGATCTGCTTCTTTCCTTCGCTGACGGCGAGCCTAAAACAGACAACAACCATAAATTATTATGTAAAGTGTTTGTTTCTGTGTTTATATGGGAGTTTCCTTGAGTGTGTATGTGTGTGTGTGTGTGTG